GAGCGGGAACAGCGAGGAACGGAGCTCCCCGGCGATTTGCCGGGGAGTTCGGAGTGAAGCAAAACGCAAATAACACCCTTGTCTTTGAGTCTGCCAGCAAGTAGCATACTAGGTAACTCCACATTAACTGGGAACCTGGACCCCAGCACTCCTACTGCAATAGAGTCTGCGCTTTTATCTTGTGTCCTCCTGCTGCCATGTTGCTGTTCATGCTCAGTTTTAGTAGAGCAAAGCGTGAGAAGCGGCAGGAGAGGCCTGGCCGAGCGGGGATCAGGTGCGCCTGGCCCTTGCAGGGGGCTGTGTTGGGCAGCTCCGGTACCGCCTGCACTGTTACCACCTGGCAGAGGGCACAGGGGTGTCCCCACGCGCGGGGTTTGGTGCTCATGGCCTTTATTATACACATCAGCCACTTGGGAAACCTGCTCTATGTTTTAGTGGTCTCAAAAGCCCTGGCACTTGTTTCCAAAGTAACTCGCAGAGCTGCAAAACTCGGCGAGTTTTGGGGATGTTCTAACTTGGACGACTAGGGAAACACTTCTAGCAAGGCCCTAGTTCCAAGCAGTCCCGAGGTACAAACAGCTTTTAGATGGTGTCACCGGGAGCTGTGGGGTGGCTGGTGCTCCCCAGCTCATGGCTGTTTGCAAAAGCAAATGTAACGAACGAGCTCTGGCAAATCTTGTTTCTGTGGTCTGTATTTGGAGTTAGCAAAGCTACTATGTTTGTAATGTGTGTTGGTAGTTTGGTCCAGAGTTTAGATCTCTTCCTGTAGGATATAGACCTTAGTTCTGATAGTTTTACATTATATCCTTGTAGGTTTGCGGCCATTTATTTCCTTCCCTTCTCTAAGAAACTTGAAGCCAGTATCCGGATTCTGCGTGCCTTTTCCGTGGAAGGTGGTCGGAGCCAGGATCTCCGCTCACCTCACCGCTGTCATCGGCGCGGGTGCCACGGCCCTGAGAAGGGAACCGTGGGGATCAGCAGGGAGGCTGTAAGAGGTGTCAGCCCCGTCCTTCGTGACCCACCACAGGTCATGTGCAGGGAGGATCCTGTGCTCTGCCATGTGCAGCTTCTCATAATGCTTTTTAACCTCTTTTGTTGTGGCTTCAATCATTTTTTTTTCCAAGAGTATCAAAGGATTGAATTGGGATGAGCGCTTAAGTTTATAATAGCTCCAGGACTTATTTCCAAACAGGGACTGATTTGCAACATTTATTGAGCGTTTCAAACTCACCTTTAGTTGTCTTTGTAATACACTGCCTCTGTTAAACAGGAGCTGCGTGTAGGTGAGTCTCCTGTCCAGCCGTGGCAGTGGAGGATGAGGATGCTGCTGGATTCAGCTGCTTCTTCCTCCACACTCAGCTGGAGGTTGTTGCATACGCTGCAGAGCTGGGAAGTGTTATGCTGAGGGTGCTAAAAAGATTTTTTTTTAAAGTAAAAAGTACCTGAATAGAAACCAATTAAGGTTTTGAAAGGATTAGTTGTTAGTTTATCTAATAGAGATAAGAGAATTTAAATTTTGAACATGAGCGAAATGCATACATAGTAGCGCAGCTCAGTATTAAAGGTCACATGGTTCTCCCTTAATGGAAAAATAAGAACATTAACCTGAATGGATTAATGTACTAGACTTGAAATGTTTGTAAACAAGACTGTAAAAATGTAGGGGTCAGCGTTCCTGCAAGATATTATTGATTTCTGGCTTTGCTTTTCAAGTTTTTTCAATACTGTTATTCATTTGCTGGTATCACAGAAAGGAAGTAAAGTATTAACTGACAGAATTAATCATCATGTCAGATGGCTAACCAATACAAGTAATACCCAATGTCTGCGCAAATCGGCAGTTTGAGAGAGGAAAGCAATATTCTCGTGGTTTTAAGGAAGAAACCTATTTCCCTGAGAAGACGATTTCTTTTTTGGGGTGATTCCTTAACTAGAAGTTAATTATAAACTATAAAGGGAATGTTGTAGTCCTGCTTTTATTTTGATTTTGTGATCTGATTATAGAACTTACATAAATAGAAAAAAAATGCATTTTTATCTAACATATTTTTAATGGAAATGTTGGCTTTTGGTTAAATTGGTATCATAACATGGTGGACTTTTTTTTTTGCTGTTCCTGTGCCAGCTCAGTCATTTTTAGTCTTTGAAAAATATGCCCATTAATTAATAAATCACAGCCAGGAAAATGTTTGGGAAAGATTTAAAGCTTGAATAATTCCAGACTTGTTAGGTGAGCTGTCTGGCACAATTGAAGCCTACATTTCTTTTTAGTTATTATTGAGGTATTAAATAAATAGCTAGCCATGCCATCGAAATTCCAGGACTGCACAAAGGTGAGCTCTGGGGAGATTGATGTATCTGTTTTCAGCTCTCAGATTCTTTTATGCCTCCTGTTTTTAATTGGAATAGTGTGATATATTCTTTGCTTCCCAATTAACATCTTACAGGTCTCTCATTGCTTCCAGACTTATTTACCCAGTATTTATCCAACAGCTTCTGGACTGAGAACTGTAATTATTTCTGCATTTACATTTGAAGTATTAGCCTGTTGCATGCGATTCCAGGCAGTTCTTGAAGTTCCCCGGCTGTGTTCAGCTTTGTGCTTGTACCAGCAGTTTAATTAATTTGTTTTCCTGACATAGGAAGACTCAGATGTGGCCTCCTTCAAATTATGATCCTTATCTGTAATGAATTTAATTTAAAAATGAAGTTCTTTAAGTACTATATCCTTATGTTCTACTATTTATTTTGTTAGAAATAATACCAGAGAATCTCACCAGAGGTAGCCCAATACATTCTCTTCAGTTGTTAAAAACTAAGTAATTATATTACAAAAATTGCAAAAATGTGTAGTATGAGAAAATCATATATGAGTATATTCTCTTTCTTCCTTCTCAAATGTTGGTTAAAGATATAACTCCCACTCCATTTGTCTCACAAGGTTCCTTGATAGTAATGGTTGGACTCCATTACTAAAGAAAAAACAAAATAATTGTAGTGATTAAATCTGCCTACTTTTACTATTAAAAAAGGAAGAAGTTAAGCAAAGAAATTCCATAAACTACAGAGAGTGCACTTTTTTCTTCTTTCTGCTCCTTTTGAAGATGTTTTAACAGAGGTTTCTTTACGTGAGCCATCTGTCTGGAAAGCTCTTCCATAAATAAAACATATTTCACTTTAAAGCTTGTCTTAGATGTATCTAAGTGTATGGAGGGTAAGCACTGGATGGAAAAGCAAGTGTGGTGGGAAGTATGGCAGTCATATGTCTTTATATTTTAGGAAAAAAAAAGTGTCCTAGAGAGGTTTTGGGTGCCCATCACTGGAAGCTTTTCAGAGAGAGAAGATAAACGTTGGCCAGGGATAGATTAAATGTGGACGTCCCTTTCTGTTATTTGCTATGATTATGAGAATTGGGTTACCAAAATGTGCAGGAATGTTCAGATCTTTGCAAGAAAGCTCAGATGGGGAGCTGGGCATCGGCTTCTCCTGCAGGTGGACTCCCCATTTTCAAAGTCGTGCAAAGGAATAAGAAAAATTCAGCGTTTCATTTGGGTGCCTTCAAATTACTGCGACGTGTTATTTACTGAAAACTAACATGCGGTTTCTGGGTCTTTCTGAAACTGAAACACATCCTAAAATTCCTTATCAGAGATGCAACTGAATGCTCACATTCAGTAGTTGCGTTTAGTACATCCGCTATAAGGATTAGAATGACCCCTCTGTGTCCTACAAACACTGCCAGTGAAGCACTTCATCACATGGGATCGCCTACACATGCTCAAAGGGCCACAAAGTTCTCAAACATGGGGGGGATTTGTTCTTTAAGATCAACGTCAATTTTCATAGCAGCCAAGCTAGGAATTTTACATGCCTTTGACCAAATCCAAACTCACACAAGAAGAAGATGGTTTTGTTTACGTGTCAGGAAAGCATTGAAGATGGCCAAGAATCACTGGTAGAATGTTAAAGGGCTTCTTTTGTTTGCCCACTAATCATTGAAGACTTGGCGCCTTCAGGAGCAGCCCTTGCCAGAGGGGCAGCGGGATGTATTGCTGGGGGCAACGCAGCTCCCTCCGTGCGGAATTTGCCTGGACTGTCTGGCAGCGGCCAGTAGGGCAGGAAATGAAAGCTGCAGCCCAAAGTTACTGAGTCCTCACAAATCCTGCTGCTCGGCCCTCCCTGGAGTCCAGCTTTTAGCCCTTTAAGTCTTAAAATGCTGCTCTATTCAAAACATGGGGTTTGGTGTGGGCATCCTGGGGAGGTTCACCAAGGCCCTCCTCCCTGTGGGGAGGCAGGTTTCAGTGCTCAGTGGTTTTGTCCTTCCATGTTCAGAGCAATCAGAAGGATGGGTAACTTTATAACTTTCCATGTTGTCATCTTTTTTTTTTTTTTTTTTTCCAAAGAATGGCAAGCAATGTGCTTAGATTTCCAAAGAGTTTTGGGAATAAATGGTTGGGAAAATAAAAATTCCTGATCATGCATTTTTTTACTGATTCAGGAGAATAAAGGCTAAAATTGAGACAGAATCTTTCACTGTCACGTAAGTAGGCAGTAAAATAGCTGTTGACTTTCAGAATCAGTAAATACAGAGTAATGGACATGTTTAAAAAAAACTAAAATTCACAGTGAGGGGCTCAAAACAGTTGTTCTCAGGAAAGAATTTCTCAGTTTATATGTATATTTCTCTCTCCATATATATATACAATATATATATACATATATCTCAATTTATATATACATGTCTGTTTTAAGCCTAACCATGCATCACTTGCCTGAAAAATTCTCTGCACTTTTATTTAGTGTTTTTCCCAATTAAGGC